TAAAGAATTTAGGATAATTTTGTTTATCAGGGATTAATTAAGATTCGTTCAGTTCCACTGCCCTCCCCCTCCCCCACCCACCACCACCACCCTAATGCTTCATCTTTTCGATAACCTCAGACTACTTTTCAGCGCGAGGTGTTTGGTTGAACGAATTTGTGCCTTTTGTAGAAATATAATCGAAGGTGTCGCCACTGGTATGCCGTTTATGGTCGCTTACCTATTCTTCGACTGCTTTGTTGTAAGTTCTTTTCGACGTAAAAGAAGTGCATTGTGATTACCCTAACTATGTCGTTTGAGTCACGCTTGAGTTTATATCATTCATTACAGTCGCACACTGGAATAGAAAATGGTAGAATCACTTTCGGGTTCTCTTTTTTTGTTTTAACAGGGTGTTTGCAGTGGAATAATTCGTGGCGTTGGAATGCAGAAGTTCGGAGCCATTGTGTGTTGTGTTAGTCTTTATTTGATCGGGGGTCCTCTTGCTCTTTGTCTCCTCCTCTTAACCGACCTCGTTGTAAATGGTAAAGTCTCAACTTCTCCGACTGTTATGCCTAATGTTTGCCCCCTGTGCTTGGTTGTTAAGCGTTTTAAGGATGTGAAAGTCCTTAAATATTTATTTATTTATGTCAAATGGCAGGCGTTTTGATAGTTATCATTAGCCATTTAGCTGACTTCGGCGTTTTGATAGTTATCATTAGCCATTTAGCTGACTTCGGTAATATTATTACTTATTTATTTTATGTATTTATTTATTTATGTCAAATGGCAGGCGTTTTGATAGTTATCATTAGCCATTTAGCTGACTTCAGGCTTCACAGAGAGGAGGAGGAACATCAAGGTGAAAAAGTCGAGAGGGGGGGAACAGAAGTGTGTTTCAAAGACGAAGGAAGAAAAGGTAGAAAAAAGGTGAGGTGAGTACTGTCAAAGTAGTCGAATATGACATACAATGGGGTCATGGTAATTTGAAGTCAAAAGTCGTCTGACGATTTATAGACTTTTTTGCCGTATGAGAATACGCTGTCCAGGGTGCACCAACGTGAAGGTAAGTCTATCGCACACCCCAGCCCTTAAATATATTAGACATCTAATGAGTCAGGGGATTGAAAGGTTCAAAAGAGGGCTAAATTGAATTCCAGAGAAAACCTAGAGAAGCAAATGAAGTATAGGCTCATCTAATTTTATTGTAAGAAGTATTGGTCACTGTGTAACATTTAAACGTTTGCAATTTAATCATTTAACTCTGATATTCATATGCAATATCAACATTATGCAGAGTTTGTTGATCGATTGGAAGTTCGGAATGCAAATGAAAGGTCAAATAATATTTTGCAACCGTGACCCTCTCTTGAACTAATTTACTGCTCCTCGTGTTATGCACTTTACCAACATGAATAATTGAAAAATATCCTTGCTTCCGCATGAGTAAAGCAAATCAACAACTGATATTAGTCGATGCAAGTGGTGACGAGAACTTACCCTCATATTGAGCTCTCGGAGTTCGGGGTTTATTTGCTAACTCGACTCACTATGGTAATACCGGCTCACATGTTTTTCCTTTTAATTTGTTGGTTATATTCCTCCAGTGGTAAGAATAACTCTTTTATAGCTTTTGCTTACGAAATTCCATCTTGACTTATATTTCGAGTTTGTCAATGAAGTAACATCATTAAAGCTCTACTCCCGTAGCTTCCTTGAGACTACTTGTGCTCATCATATTTAGCCCACAATAAGTTGTCCTCCCCATGTCTCCCTTTCCCTCCCTCTACTTACATTTCTTGATATGACAATGTTTGCAAAGCCCATAAAAGGACATTTGTTCCTTCCGATGGGGCTACTTTGCCTCATTATGCTCTTCACGTCAAAATTTGCCGACAAATCAGGCGCATCGCTGTTGTTCCACTTCTTGGGTTTAATTAACTTCTGCGTATGTTTACTTGTGCTGCTTTGTGTTTTAGGCTTTTGGCTTGGTATGGCGATTGGAGTTTTCCTTGAAATGTTTGTCTATACGATCCAGTGCTGTCGAATTGACTGGAAGAAAATGTGCATAGATGTAAGGCTCTTTCTTCCTTACTTGAACTCTACTGAACATACTTGAACTCTTTGTATAAATGAAATTAATTCTATCTTTCCCCCTCCTTCCCAGGCCCATAAACGCACTGCCATCAAATTTGTCGGACACCGTAAAGATAACAAAGCAGGTAAATGTAATATGAATAAGTCTTTTGTCTCTTATCAATATTTGAATCCCCCCAAATAGCTTATGGCATGTGAAAGCATTATTTGTGAGATTTAAAAGACTTCGTTTAATATGGTGCGCATGGTGGTGGTTTGATACATGCCTATATGAATTAAGTTCGGCCACAATTTGTGTATTGAGTTAGGGTGTAGAAGTGAAATTTCAGCGGTTCCAAAGTCGGGATGAGGGCGCCTTGAGATAGAAGTTTAATACCCACAACGAGGTGAGCATGGCTTAACTGGTGATTTGCGCTTCAAACCCAAAGTCTTTCTCTCTCTCTCTCTCTCTCTCTCTCTCTCTCTTTCTATGCCTGTGATGAAAGAGATTTTTAAAAAACGGACTACTGTTGGCTTATGAAATTGCAGTAAATTGGCTTTCCTGACTTAGTGGTCAACGTGCTTTTCTACCATATCCTAGATGACAGGTTCGATGTCATCGGTGTTTGTCCAGCGGGAGGAGGGATGGACCATATTGAGTAAGGTGGTAATTCGGCCAAATTCAATTTTCCCACCAATGAGGCCCAACAATATATATCCAGCGACATTGGGGGCAACTTACAGAAATTTACCCCATAGCGTCATGGTTAACATTGGCCAATGCAAACCCGTAAATAACGGAATTGATATTGATAAACACTTACCCAGTACTTGTACGAATTTCTCGCTCGAAAGGCTCCAGCATGCCTTTTCCTTATTCGAGAAGGGTGTTCTTTGACCTACTCTTTCAATTTCTCCCGATGATACCGTTGTCAAGTTTCGTCTTTAATAGATCAGAGGTCCTTGGTACAAACTCAGAGACATGGATATCTAGCCACACTGGTTAAGCGAAGGGAAGATATAAGCATTTGAACTTAACGGAATTGGGCTTGTTTGTTTTTAGAAATAAATTTCTCTTTAGGGAGTGTCTTGTCTAGCAGTGAAATAATCCTCAGCGTCTTGTGCAACAGCGCTATGTCAGAGGTCACGAGTTCGAAAACTGTCAATTAAGCAGAAAAGAATAGTTTGCTATTGGAAAGGTTGCATGGTGCCTTCCATCTGCATGTTAGTATGTGTTTGGATTTAAGCATTATTAGCTAATTTCAATCAGATGGTTTAGAAACTATTTTTAAGGTGGAAAGATCTGTAAATCTGAAACTCAAAGCTTTCATATAAGCGCTCGATGGAGTGGATATATTAGGTGGGCAACTAAGTCATTGCCGTTTTTGTTGACGGATTCACTCTATACTTTCTTTTGTTTTGTTAACGTGGCCAGAGCATCCAACCTATATTTTTTTCTCACTGTATGGGCTTCTAGGTTAATTAGTAAAAAATTTTTTTGTTTAGTTCTTTAGTTTTGTTTTTGTCCCAATTTAAAAATGAAAGAACAGGACGTGCACTTCCGACACATTTTATTGTATTACTTCCGAAAAGGCAAGAACGCATCGCAAGCACAAAAGAAGTTATGTGCCGTATATGGAGATGAAGCCTTAAAAGAAAGGCAGTGTCGAAATTGGTTTGAAAGATTTCGTTGCGGTGATTTTTCACTGAAAAATTCACAACGATCTGGCCGCCCAGTCGAAGTGGATGAAACCCATATGAAGGCCATTATCCATTCAAATCGTCACAGCACAACACGAGATATTGCAGAGAAGCTCAATGTGTCGCATACATGCATTGAAAAAGAAAAATTAAAAACCCTTGGTTATGTCAAGAAACTTGATTTATGGATCCCTCACCAGTTAAAGGAAATTCATTTGACGTAACGGATTAGCATCTGTGATTCGCGGCTACTGAAACGCAATGAGAATGAGAATAATCCATTTCTGAAGAACCTAGTTACTGGCGACGAAAAGTGGATAGTTTGTAACAATGTTACTCGCAAGAGATCATGGGTGAAGCAAGATCAACCAGCCCAAACAGTATCAAAAGCAGAGATTCACCAAAAAAAGATTATGCTGTCAGTCTGGTGGGATCACAAGGGAATTTTGTATTTTGAACTCATGCCACAGAACCAAACGATAAATTCAAATGTGTATGTTGAAGAACTCGAAAAAGTGAAGGATGCAATTGAAGATAAGCGGCCGGCATTATCAAATCGGAAGGGTGTTGTTTTCCATCATGATAACGCAAGGCCCCACACATCTTTGGTTACTCGGCAAAAATTATTGGAACTGGGTTGGGATGTTTTGTCACACCCACCATATAGCCCTGACCTTGCGCCTTCGGATTACCATTTGTTTCGTTCCGTGCAAAACTCCTTAAATGGTAAAATTTGTAACAACGCGGATGATGTAGGATCACACTAATTCAGTTTTTTAATAGCAAAGACCAGACATTTTACGAACGGAGAATTTTTACTCTCCCAGAACGATGGAAAAAGGTCATCGACAAGAAAGGCCAATATCTAATTGAATAAAGTTATATTTTTAAACAAAAATTCCGAATTTGCCTTCTTATTTGAAATCGGCAACGACTTAGTTGCCAACCTAATAGTTTTGTACAATTATAATCTACTCAAAGAAATTGTAGTCAGGCACAAGACTAACACAAACATTTGATGATGAAGTCGCTTTTATTCTTTTTTAGGTCTAAGAGAAGATAATGAGCTTGAAATAAGTCTCGCCGAGCCGGAGGAAGTGCACAGCGACTTACTTGGAACTGGTCAGGATGAGAAGAAGTCCTGTACCCCAAAGACCTTTATCACACCCATCACAATGATCTTAATTGTGGTCAGCCTCCTTTTGGTGGCCCTCTGCTGTCGATTTCTATTTGATTGGCCGATGATTTTTCCCAATTATTGCCTTTTGAAGAATGAAACCCTCATTCCATTAATTGATCGAAGTGATGCAAACAATTACGGGTGCACTGTTCTTATTCCTTAAATACAGCCCATCTTTCTTTTCTCATTCACCAAATCTAGCTGCTCATCTCCTAACATCTAACAGAGAAGAAGTCATACATTGTGACATTTTTAGATATATTTATATAGATCGGAGTTACATGAAGACATGCGTCAAGAGTATTATATTTCATTCATGAAACTGTCTATGTGAACGAGATTGCTCTTCCTATTTTCCTGCGTCTTTTTTCAAATATATTTGTCTTTTCTCTTTCTCTCTATTTTGAGTTTACTATGGTCTTTGGACTACTGGTTGAAAATTCTCCACATAATTTCGTTGGCGCAACTGGTAAAGATTTTTAAAATTAAAATTGCTAAGCAGTTGGTAGAAGTCCGCTGACAAATCTGATAGTCATTATTATATTTACTAATGAGGGCGCGCGATAAACTTGCCTCCACGTGGTGCACCCTGGGCAACGTATACTCATACGGGGTCTATTAACTGGCAGTTGACTTCTGACTTCAAATAAAAGTCTATCAATCGGCAGTTGACTTCTCACTTCAAACGTTGACTTCTGAGTTCAAATTACCATCACCTCACTGTATGTCGCATTCGACTACTTTCACAGTACTCACATCACCTCTTTTCTACCAACCAACTCGACTTTTTCTCTTTGATGTTCCTTCCCCTCTGTGAAGCCTGAA